TTGAAGCACCAAGGCAGTTGTAGATCAAACAGAGGCTAAGATGGCAGCTTCCTTTGCTGAAAATGATAGGAGGGTTTAGTTCCGCTTTAAGTCAGGACTCCTGGCAGAAAGAATAAATGAATGACAAAACCTAGTGCCAAGGAACACTAAACAATTATACCTTCAAAAGATCTCTAGACACCTGAAATACATGTGCGCGTTATTCAGGTCACATTTGGAATCCTCCAACATCCTGTAAACTACAACATGTTATGCCTATACTATTATTAGAAAAACAATAGACAATAAGCAACTGTCCCAAATTCTCCTACCTTCTCAGTTAGAGATCTGAAACTCAAATCATGCAAATATATTTACTATACACAGTGTCAGCAATTTGCAAGGTTACACCAAAGTCGTTAGTGTTGGACAACAATTGAGTCTGTGCAAAGGTAGGTTAACTGCCATTCATAATGGTTGCCTCGATGGCACTTATGGGAAAACAACACCTACTGACATTCAGGAATTAGGTCAGGCATAAGGAATTCCTTTTTCATAGACACCATGGTGGGGAATTTATCAGAATGTAGTTACACGTCACCAAGAATTTTTCCTACTTTAAATAAAATAAAATAACAAAACAAAAGCATTTTTCCTATTTATTTCCTTTCTATGGTACAAGTTATGTGTGATCTGTAATGACCTTTTTCTTCATGTTTAGTAAGGTAACACACTTCTTTCTACAGGTTGTGTAATATTCACAGCTTTCATGCCAGTGATCATTCACTGAGCACAAGAAACACTGATGGTTTTGCCCTGAAGAGCTACAGGAGTAGCTCAGTGGTAATGTCACTGCCTCTGAAATGCTGACCCCAATTCATACCCCAGGGTCAAATGACTGTGGCCCAGCCACATTTTTCCTGTTGTGAATGCTCTGTATGCGGCTTCACTAGCAGGTTTAGCAACAACCTTCTGTTCCTTATAGAATTTCCTATAATTATAGCTCCAAACAACTAAAACAAACATGTGTTCGCTTCAAAACCCAATACAGATTGAGGAGAATTCTCTGTTTTCTTTAATTTCCTCCAAGCCTTGCAGAGTGTTTGTAGCGAACACCAGCCTGCTGTCCCGGAGAACCTTAATAATTCACATGCAACATATTTTACTAGTTACACAAATAGCAGGGACCGTTCTAAAGTTAACAGTGTTTAGAATGAAAAACTAGTAGGGGCCCATTCACTCCTCAGCACTTTTGGCACTGCTTAATGCAGCTAATACTGCCTCTTAAAGTGTTACTAAACCCACAACAGTAAAATCAGTCTCTATATGCAGTAAAGCATGCTTGTAATACTCACTGTTGAACATAAGGGGTTAATTCATTGTGTAAAAAGGATGTTTGATCCTGTCTTCTCTGATCCTTTCCTTCTTCTACTGTCCCCAATCCATCTCCTGATAGAACAGAGCCTTGGAGGCAAGCTGAACATGCTCAGTGTGGTGTGTATCACTAGAGAGTATTTTTTTTCTTGGAAAAGTGCATGTGATCAGCACAGAGCCAATCAGCCCTGTCCAGACAGAGAGTCAGGGGTCCTGCAGCCTCATAGGCTGATTAGGGTAGAATTAAAACTCCTCCTACAAGCTTTAACCAATGCTCTGCTGGACACTGATAGAAGTCACAAGACTGCTCTAACAGCTGATGAGAAAAGGTATTTATCAGTTTATCTTTACTAAAATAATTGCATTTCCATGTTGTGTGTACTGTGGGAGACCAGATATAGTGAATGCAGGGTCCTGGGTTTAGCAACACTTGAAACTCGTCTCCACGTATGAGTGCTTTCTTAACACCTTGGCGCCGGCACCTCCCGGCCCTTTAAGGGTTTCAGAAGCCGGGAGGCGGGGCGGGGTTTTAGGGTCATGTGACCGCCGTGATTCGCTATCACGGTGCTCACATGATCGGGAAAGGTCCCGATCGAAAGCGGAGATCGGGACCTTTCCGTGAGTACTGGACATGTGTGCTGGGAGCACGCAGGGCACGCGCTCTCAGCACATGTTTTTCTTAATCGCACACAAATGTGCGGCCGCTTGGCGTTTAGGCCCAGACACCGGGAGGCCGCATATTTGGGTGCGGCCGGCGTGAAGAGGTTAAATATTGTTTGCTGCATCTTTGGCACAACATTACTTCTTCTATAGGGATGAATGGCACCTAGGGATTCCACCTGGGGCATATGAACTTAATAGAAAAAAGGTCATAAAGCCAGTAATTTATCCCAATCTTTATAAACGCACTGTACATGTGTTTTAATGCATGACGCTCCAATCAAAATTCCCTTCCCTGTGGCGATCACATGCATGCAATACACATAAAATGTTAGGTGAGGTATGTTAAAGAAAATGTAAAACCAACATTTCATATTCCTGATATGTGCCTGCTGTACCATGCACTTGTATGAAAAAGTATCCTGCTCTCTTTGTATTGCTTCCTTTGGGTAAAATACCTGGTGTTCCTATCAGTCCCATTGCTTTCCTATCAAAAACTGACCACACTAGGCACAAGAGCACAGTGTGGTCAGTTATCTAGCTGTTCTGGGAACCCTGTGTGCTCTCCTCTAATGATCAGACTTGTTCTGCCTCCCCCTCCCCCATCCCCCCGCATGGCCATTCACTAGGAAGTTCAGTGCTCTGCTGTTTCTCCTCCCCCAGCTCCTATGCAGCTGAGAACAGAGGGTATGTGATCACTTATAAAAATGGGGGGAAAATGTTCCATTTTTTATCAACACACAAATGTTTTGTCTTTCATTTCTATTTTAAACTGAATGGGTTGTTTTACATATACTTTGAATACATATACTTTAAAAAGTCAGCTTGGTCTTGACTTTAGAATCCATTGTTCTGTACGCCCCTGATAATATATTCTGTATTTCCATCATTGCAGCTATGAGTGCTGTGGTCCTTATAAAGTGAAGTGATCCTGTCATTTACCCTTCTTTTTCTCTGCCTTTGTCCATTCTCAGAATTACTTGTTTTGAATTCACAGAATACATGGACCAAATACGATCATCGAGGTGAATGGACAAGAGCTGCGGCTCTCATTCAGTGAAAGTATCTTATCATTTATCTGCCATTCCTCTTCTCTTGTCCATTCATAGAACACTGTGTATATACATTCTGTGAATTAACAAGAAGATGGGAAAAATGTGGTAAATAACAGGATCATTTCACTGTATGAGGGCCTCAGTTCTCATAGCATCAGCGCTGGAGGTACAGCACTGGTTGTACTATCCAGCAGGGGACAAATGAATGGATTCTACTGTAAACAGAACTAAGCTGAGCATTTAACACATCTTAACAAGAGGTACCCTTTTCCCTTTCTTTTAAATTTGTATACATATCTGTGGATGGCGTTCTGCTTTTCATAGACATTAAAGCTGTATTTGTTTTTCAAGCACAGAAGTGGGAACATGCCACATATGTCCACTCTTCAAAAATAAAAAATCGCTTAGGCTTGGTCATACACATTATAAACTGTGCAATCTGTTCAGAAAGGAATAGATTTAACAATAGCTTTTTAGTGTGAGAGCCTATCTAGATGATGCAGTCAATTTAATATCCATCAAAAAGTATGGCATGTATGACCAGTCTTGGTGCCAACAAGCTCTACTCTTCTCTTGAACCAGACTTTTTTTCAAGTACTACTTTTTACGACACTCTTATGTATACATAACAGAGAATTTCCAGCATGCTGAAACATCTATGCCACCAGCCCAACTGATGTTTTCTTTTTCTTTGTGATAGTAGCCCATGTACTGCCCAATTACTGCAAATGACAATCTCTGGCCTATGTAGAGGTCATAGCAGCTATTTTTTTGTTTTTTAACGGGACAATGAAATCTAGAGAAAAGTATAGTATAACTAGAATCTAGGGAAAAGTATAGTGTAACAGGATTTCTTCTTCACTTTATTGGGAAATAAAACAGGGAATCTGATTATCTGTCTGTTAAGATTAAAAGAAAAAATGAGAGGTAACATACCCACTTTAGAAAGATAAGACCATAGTCAGCGAGACTCCCTCGGTCTACATTCTGGACATATTTTGCAATCCGGTGATAGCTGTTCATAGCATATGTTTTTCATTCGCTTTTTTTTTTTGTTTTGTTTTTTTTTCCTGTTGAAGATCTGCTTTTCCCTTTAAGGAGTTATGAAATGTAGTTATACAACTAAATGGGTGGAGGGTACGTACACACTGCTGGAGTACCTGTGTCTTTTTTTTTATGTATATGACTGTACAGTAATGTTACTAAAAATAAGTCCAATGTTCTTTTATGTGATAAGAGCACACATGAAAAAAAAACAGAACATTTTAAATATATATTGCTTTGCTGCGAACATTTTTCCCAAGGGACTAGACCTGATTCTGTGTAGGTAGGAGATCTGTTTAACCTCCTCGGCGGTCTGATTATTTCAGATTTTTGGTGCTGAAAGCGGTACCATTATTCTGCATGGAAATATGTAGTTTTTTTTTTATTGTAGGTCTGTAATATTTAGGAATAACTCACTGAAATCTGTCCGAACAAGAGTCTATTAAACATCCCGGGTATGATAAAAATTTGAAACACAAAATCATAAATTATAATTTAATAAATAATCATAAAAAATAATAATATAATAATATTACATTTAATTCAACAATATAATCAAACCAAAAACACTGAAATTTGAAATATAGTTCGCACATTGCTGAGCAAAGTCGCAAAATCGTTTTCAGTGTCTGATGAGGAATTTCCCCACAAATCATTATCACTCAATTCTGCAAGTGGTTCTGATTTACTATCGCTGTTCTCTAGCTGATCTAAACCCGCTTTTGACCTAAAGGGACACTTTTTGGACGCCGTGGACTTTTCTAAGTTTCCAGGCAGAAAGAACATTCAAAATGCAGACAGGGGACAGGACAGAGCACTAGGGACAAAATGTATGTGAAATGGGTTGAAACAGCAATGTTTTACTATGTAAAATCGTTTTGAAAAAAAATGAATTTTTTTTAAATTTTCAAATTTCCCGCCGCCGCCGCCGCCCGTACGTCCCGACGTCACAGGGACCGGAACACAGGAGCCGGATGCCGGCATCTGCCGGAGGAGATGGCCGGGGACGCTGCAGGGGACACACCGCGGGAGCGAAGGACAAGGTAAGCTCTGCAGGGAATCCCTATACAGCGCTGCATGGTAAGCCCGAGTGTAGCTCGGGGTTACCGCTTTTGGTATAGACATTTTAACCCGAGCTACACTCGGGATTACCGCTAGGGAGGTTAACAGAAGCTTGTGGAAACAAGTGACAAATGAACTGGAAAATCAAGCTGGCAGCCAAAGGGTGCAAAAACGCAAAGGAAACGCGTTTAAAATGCGCAGGATATGGCGCAGGAAAAACATCTATATTTTAATGCATACCTTCTAAAAACACATACCTGTGTAATACCTTGAGACCAGTAAACTATGGCATAACCCTTAGAAACAAAACAATATATCTTTCTGTCAGTTCTTAAAACTACTCTGAAATGATCATGATTCTCTATGGTAACACAGTTTTTAGTACGTTCATTTATGGCTTTCAGAGTCAAGAAAGCTGCTAGGAAGTACTCATAAATACACAGTAGACGTTACTAAAATCTGTTATCAGTTTTCTGTCTATCATCCGTTTCCTTGACACTCCAGTTAAATAATGTTAAATAATCTTTTTTTTTTTTTTTTTTTTATGGAAATCTGAATTGCATGTTCATTTTGAGCATTTTCCTGCTAGTTCCTATAGGAATTTGGCTGGCTGCCTGTTTTATTTTTTTTTCTCTAGAAATGCTTTTGTATTTAGACTAGGCACAGGTTTGGCAATTATATGATGATTTGCACAGACTTTGTGAATATTCACATTTGTCAAACAAGCTTCTTTTTAATATTTAATTGTTCAGAAATATTAAGCTGCAAAATTGATTATTCACAAGTTAAGCAATCATTTACTAAACACTGTACGATTTTCCATTAACAGATCTAATTCTTCGAAGTGAAAATTGCTAAGAGTGTAAAACCAACCTCCTTCATTAAAGGGAACCTGTCATTCTGGAGGCAGACATTTTGAATAATTACCTGCAGTCTAAGCACAGAGCAGTTTGATGAGTTTATTTCTCTATGGCACTTACTGCATTAGTGTGAAGAGATGTAAACAGAAGACTCCAAAACTGCTGATTTTTCAAAGTTGATTACTTAGCAATGGGAGCATGGCTTTAAAAACAAATCAATCTCTGCAATATTTTAATCTGTTGGATAACACTGTACAGACGCATGTGACAGATTCACTTTAAATGACCTCCTTGTTCCTACAAAACACCAATATGAAGCTGCCACTAGTGTTTTAGTGAATTGCTCTATTTATTTACTACTTGATTATACAAACTATAAATAATTGTATTCTATAGTAATATCAGATTTTATGTTCAGAAAACTTTCTTTGTGCAAATGAAAGTTTATTTTTGGAGTTGTATGTATTTGCTGCACTTGCTGTGTATACACCGTATCTCCCATCATCTATCTTTCACTGTCATCTATAAACTGTAACTAACTTTACTGTTTTCCACCGTGGGAACATACGGCTCTTAAAAGAATTGGGTATATTTATGATAAGGACCAAGAAAAAGGCTGAAAGTATTTTGCAGTTTCTTTACTTTCTTGAAACTACAAGAAATCTAATTAAATAACACATTAAAATAAACCTATTGTATAATATTTCTTTTTTGTCTGACTCATATTTACATGGACTTTTCATTTTGTAAATGAATATTAAACAATTAGAATCGGTGTTCATTAATGTTAATATAGGCAGAAAATTCCATTTAAGGCTTCCAATTTATAAAAAGTAAGGTATAATAGACGTAATAAAGCCTTAAAGGTGTATGTAGACCAAACAAGTATAGTATCAAAGTCTTATATCAGGCTTGTCCAACCCACGACCCATGGGCCACATGTGGCCCAAGATGGCTATAAATGTGGCCCAACACAAAATCGTAAACTTACTTAAAAATGTTGATTTTTTTTTAGTAAAAAATGTTTTGTAAAAATGTGTTTACACTTAGCGAACATAGGCAGACAAATTAAAATTTGAGTGTCTCTTTACTGGATTTTTATAAGTTTTATCCTCCCAAAGAAAAATCTCCCACTCTTCACAATCATACCTTATTCATGTCATCAGTTTTCGGTGATACCTATATTTGTGAGCAACTTTTTTCAAGGATGAAGCACACAAACGCCAAAATTAGAACCAAAATATCTGATGAGCATCTTGAGAATTGATTGAGAAATTCTACTACATCCATCGAGAATCTGATATTTATGTGTTATTTATCAAAAACAGCGTCTAATATCACACTAGTTTTATGTTGCCCCTTTTTACTATTACAATAAAAATATTTTAAAAAAAAAGTTTTATTACTCAAATAGGTACATTATTTATATCAGTGATCATTAACTTGTGTCCTGCCTGACTTTTTCTGCTCATCAGCTATTCTTTTGTTAGTGTATTTTATGTGTGGCCCAAGACAATTCCTCTTCTTCCAAAGAGGCCCAAGAAAGGCAAAAGGTTGGACACCTCTGGCATAGGTAGTCCAAAATAAGAGTAGGATCAAAGTTTTAAAATAAAAAAATAATAAATATGTTAAACTTGAGATTAGAATCCCTTATGTAAGTGACAACATCTGCAGTTATGTATTTATGCTTTTTCCTGGGACTGTATGTTACTTTTGTACTAAGTACATTGAAAGTGCTAAGAAATGGGAGAGAGCTGCAGAGCAGAATGGGACACAATTATTGTTCTCTAGGCAAAAACGTGTGACCTGAATACACAGTCTGCCAGAAAAGTATGAAGAAAATGAAATTTTTTTTTTTTTTGCTGATATGTTTTTAAGTTTTTTTTTTCCTGCAGCTCCAACATAATAAAACTCCCCACAATAGTCTCCAAAAAGAATTTAGGTAAATTCAGTCAAATCAGCACAATCCTACCCATCGCTGCCATAGTTTGCCAGTTTATTTATGTTACTGTTACTGTGATGTACCTTTAGTATTTTAAATGTGCAATAAGTTTTGCTCTTTGCATCTGTAACCCAAGAAAAAGACAAATTAACTCCTCTGTTGCCAGAGGGCTAAAGAAACTTGATCTGTTTTGGAATTTTCACAGAGACATATGAAAAACCTTGAAAGTGGGAAAACTAATCAAACTGCCCTATAGATCAGAGATGGATGCTTTTATTTTTCATTCTCACTTAATAATTGGGATGCATAAGTAGAAGTGTGGTGGTGTAGCAAACTTTTTGCTTTGCACCTCATTGTGTGGGCCTGAACGGTAAATAAGTTATTGCATATTTGACATGCGGCACCATCCACTGCATGTATTTTTCTTGCTGCTCCTAGTCTGTGTGTATTCTGTGACACAACAACCACGCAATGGGAACAAACTACAATTTTAAAACAAGCAGGACTCATATTTTATCAATTCACAAAACCAACTGTGTATCATGTAATAATGGAGAGCAAAAAACAAATACATACTTGCTTCACTCTGATGTCCAATTCTCTACAAATACATGAATCTTTTGTGTACCACAAACAATTAAATATAATCTACCACTAATGAAAAGAGTGCAAGAACAAGCAGCAGTTTACTAATTAGATAAAGCCACATGTTTTGCCTAGGTTTTTAGTGTTCATTTTAAAAAAAGGTAAAATGTAATAGAAAATGCACTACAGACACAGTGCTAAGAGCTTCAGCTCTACGTTCTTTATAGCTTTCTTTAGAAGTGTTTGGGGTTTAAAAAAAGGTACTGATTTTTCACTGCTGATTACTTGGCAATAACAGCATGAATTCAGAAAGTAGAAGTCATTTCTGTGGTATCTCAGTCAGTTCTACAGCACTGTGATCTTGCTGCCACTGTGAAAGATTTGCCTTAAATCAGCACAACACCACGAACCGATATATATCATATAGTGCTAATAGTTATTTGGAGCTTACAAATCTAGTTATACTAATTAATACATACCGCAGTTATATTATTAGGGCTAAAAAAAAACAAAAAAAAAAAAAAAAAAACATTGATGAAGCAAATGAAGCAGATTCTAAATGTAATACTGTGGGTTTGAGTTACTAAAACTGGAGAGTGCAAAGTCTGGTGCAGCTGTGCGTGGCAGCCAATCGGCTTCTAACTACAGCTTGTTCTGACGCTTGGACATTAAATCCTGGAAGCTGATTGGTTTCCATACAGAGTTGCACCAGATTTTGCACTCTCCAGTCTTAGTAAATCTCCCCTTTGGCATCCATTCTAATTTATTTGAACCACAAATCTAACCTTTACTTATATGTTTTAGCCTGACCTGACTGGCTGATTTTAGCTGGGATTTTTGTTTGTTTTCTTTAATTAAATCACCCCCCCCCCCCCATTATCAGTAACTTAAAACCAGTATAAATTCTTCCCATACATTGCCTTTTATTCTAAAATATTACAATATAAATATTCATTAATTTCACACGAAATACAAGCACATAATTTAAAGTTTGTGCATAGCCATATTTTTGCACCAGATTTTGCACTCTCCAGTTTTAGTAAATCAACCACTATAAGCCCTGGTTCACATTTAATGCGACTTTGAAATCGTGCTACTTCACTTGAAGTAGCGCAATTTCAAAGCTGCAGATCAGTGCTATTTGTATCTCTGATTTCCTTGCGACTTCATTTAACAGAAGATGCAAGCCGCAATTAAATCAGAAAAAAGCAGTGCAGGAACTATTTTTGAAATCCCACTACTTCAAATCGCACAGTGCTATAGAAATACATTAGATGCGACTTAAGGTGAAATTTGTAAATCGCATGTAGTACCTGAAGTTGCACTGGTGTGAACCGGTGCTAACTCCAAGAAAGATGGAAATGCAAATCAGAGTGCAATTTAAATCTAAAATCTGGGATCTAAAAAAAAAAAAAACTTGTGGTGGAGTTCGCTGCACCGAAAGGGTTGCATGCTTGTTGAGTCTAGGTGAAGAGGAATAATACAGTAATTACCTTATTCTTCAACCACACTGTGTGATTGGTCCCCCAAAGCCTCTTCTCTTTGTGGCTTTGAAAGGGGGTTGTACTCATCATGACATCATCATGTACAATGCAGGGCCAATATTCCTGTATTGTACATGAGGATGTCATGGGTTCGCCCACAATCCGAAGTGTTGGAGAGAAGGGGAAAGTTCAGGAAGCTTGCTGGAGTGAAGAAAATGGCAAAGTATTACAGCTACTTCCTCTAGCCCCAGATTTAACAGGCAGTTAACCCTTGCAGTGCAGAGGGCCCCACTACAAGGGCATTTTTAAAAATCCTATAAATCAAATTTAAGCTAAATAAAGCTAAAAAAAAAAAAAAAGGTTGTCTGGAATGTGATGCTCTTCTGATTCCTTATTGTTTCTAATAACCCGGCTACGCTCCTGCAAAGTCTGGACTTCTTTGGAACAGACAGCTGGTTGTCAAAGCCCTCATCTATAAAAATTCATTACCATAAATGAGATGTTCCTATGAAAGATAGTCAACATGCTAAAAAAACAGGCAATGAGCAAAAAAGGCAAGAAGGTTGTAGGTGAAGTCTATTCTCCATTTTAGAAATCTTATTTTTTTTTAACCCTTGCTGCAGTATTAAAGCAATATAATTTTATCAGTTGAAACAGGCTTGATTGTAGCCGTATTAGTGCACTTACAACAGAAGAAGAAACAGAAATAAAAGAAAAGATTGTAAGCTCCAAGGAGCAGGGCCCTCCTAACCCTCTTGTATTGAACTGTATTGTTGCTGTATTGTGTCCCGTTATATTGTAAAGCGCTGAGCAAACTGTTGGCGCTATATAAATCCTGTATAACAAGAAGAAGAAGAAGAAGAAAAAGAAGAAGAAAGAAGAAGGGGGTATATTGTGAAAGCTTGGATGATAGTGCGAATAAAAAAGTATCATGGACAGTACTCAATTGTTGCAGTTAAAACACAAATGAAACCCTTGGCTTTTCAGTTGAATGACAAAGAAGTAAAGTCACTTTAATTCCAAACTTTCTGCCATCACAACGTGACACTCTGGTGCGAAAAACTTGCTTTTTTTAACTACAAACAGAGCAGCCCAGAGACTGCACAACTCAAAGGTTCCCATCAAAAAAAGAATCTGTCAGGACAGGAATATAGAGTTGCCATTGATGACTTGTTTTTGGAAGGTACATCCTCCAAGGCTATCACCCTAATGCTGGCTTCACTACTTGGTGAGTCATTGACCTAGAACAAGCATGTGCACACCATGTGTTAAGTCTCATACTGTTACCATGCTCATTCCGGGTCACTGACTCACAAAGTAATAAAAGGAAGGATCCGTTCACAGACCTGGAGCTTGCACCTCCAAAAACAGCTCCCTACCTTTTCAACAGATTCCCATTAACGTTGTATATTCATAAACATTGACATGCGCTTTTGTCTAAGCCAGCATTTCATTGTATCCTAAGAACCAGCTGTATGTGCATCAATATTCTTAATATAGTTGAGTCAGTAAACAAAATGGCTGTTTTCTCTTTGGCTGGCAAATGTCTACTGACCACCGATTTGCCTACAAGTCTTGTGGAAATTTCGACAAACTTAGCTGCAACATGTTACAACATATTGTACAAAACAAGACCTACGCAACAAAAAAAAAAAAAAAAGAAAAGTCATGAAACCTAGTCCTAGAGCTCCTCCTGAGGTAAGGGCTCTGAACTGTGAGGTCAGCTGCTGGACAGGAAACACTAGATTACCGCGATGAAGAACAGACTCTGGAGCTGCTAAAAGTCCTGCACCTCCGCGCCATACGTTGCAACAAAACAAGTTAAACAGGCAACTAACCACTCTAGGTCAGAAAACACCTGAAGGGTATCTGTGTTTTTCAGCGAGCAGACAACAGAAAAGTTAGAACTGGATCTACAACATTCACAAGAAAATGCTAAGTTTAATTTTTTTTCTTCTCTAAGTCTACAGCAAACTTTTTTCATGGGTAGGGCTACTGCTGTGGTTATCTTGTTCCTACTCACTTCAAAGCGTCCCTGTTTCTGTACACTATACATTTTCAAACAATTGTAGGATAATGAAATGATAAACTTCCCGATTTCCCCAGACTACAAAAAACTACAATCAGCATTGACCCGTCTAGGATTGTAAAATTAAAATAAATCATATTAACGTTAATATAACAAGAAGACTTATAGGCAAAATGCATTAATCCATGGCAACCAATAAACTCTCATCTTTCATTCTTCTGGACTACGCCAGTTAGGGGCCCATTTAATAAGGTAGTGGAAGGAGCAGTGATGTACTTATACCTGTAATTACAAATCAGATTTTAGATTTTTATTTGCTGAAGGTAAAAAATCGAAAATCTGATTTGTAATTACAGGTAAAAGCACATCACTGCTCTTTCCACTACCTTATTAAATGGACCCCTAACTGGCGTAATCTGAAAAAAAGGGGTGCAAACGTGATTTGTAAAGTACAGTAACCCATAACAACCAATCAGTTTCTGTTTGCTGCACTCATATCAAAAGATTCATTCTGATAGGTTGGTTTGATTAATTGCAATTTGTACACCATTAATATCTTTTTCCTTAATCATATTAAATTCTCTGAAACCTCCACTAGAATGCAAACATATAGCAGTGGATTTGTTATTAATGGAACAATTCATTTAAAGTTACATTGTTACAAACTGCTTTACATAATGTGATGCATTGGGTTAAAATTATGCGTTTAGAAGCATTAGGATGGCTAGCCCATCACTAAGCTATATAGTAAGGCAGCAAAGACATACAAGAAATATATATCGTGCAATGTTGACAAGCTAAAGCCATGGTAAAGCTAACCATCCTATGTACTTATATCATTGACTTGTTGGAAGTCAGATATTCTTAGGCCAAAAAAAAAAATTAAATATAGCAAATTCTTTAAACTGCAAATTTTCAAAATCAGTTGAATTTTCTAATTGATGTTTAAAATATGTTATGCTTATGCTTGGTGGGTCGTTTCTCAAGAAAATAATGATTTCTTGGGAAAATGGGGTATAAATCTTCATTTTGGAGGCAATTAAAGCGCTGATTTCATTTGTGCCCCTGAGCTATTCTTGTAATTTGCTCAAATAGCTTTATGTGCCCAGCACTCCAGAGCTTTAAGAAACTCAATTTCTAGCTAGACTTGTTGGATTGCAATTTTGAACTCAGCAGCCACGACCTATGTTTCACTATGGGTTCCCTAGGATACAAAGCTGTATGTGTGAGTGTGACGTGAACAAGGCCTGATCAATGCTACGCATCACCTCTTTACATATGCCGGGGACAAAAAAGACTTGAACTTATCTCAGGAACAATAATTAAAAACAGACGTCTCAGATCGATTCATATTTATTCATATATTTGTGTAAGTGTTGCAGTGGGCATGCAGAACACAATGACTCGGTTTTCTATTTTTCCGTAAGACATACTTCTTCAAAACTTTTTCAAGTATTTCCACAGCATGGTCGGGAATCGGTATCTTGATAAAACGACCTTGTGATCTATGAGAAGCATCTGATCACACCACAAGTCAAAGTCGATATAAACCAGTTAACTCTATGGTACCTAGACTAGCCTGGAGTACTGGGATTTAAGTTGCTTCAACACAATTTACCTAAAAGGGATGAAAGCGTTGTGTCTGGCTGTGCATTGTGTAGCCAACATGGAATTCCCAGGAGCCTTTCTGATTACACCCTAAATGCTATCTGCAACACATTAATCAGGCCTATTTTTAAACTATGACTGACATGGCACCAGATTTTGTTGAACTAAACTAGTAACATCTCTGAACATTTGTGGCAAATCTGCAATAACATTGTAACAATCTTTCCAGCAAACGTCAATAACTGATCAGCACACATATACAACATTTCAGGCAGCAGCAATTCATGAGTACTTTAAAATAAAAAGTTAAAAACAATGCAAGCAAAGCGATGGTTGTCAATAGAAGATGCACATTTAACTCTTTTAAAGCAAGTTAGGCTCCTACAGTAAACAGAGTACATCTATCTCTTAGATTGTAAGCTCCCAGGATCAGGCCCTCCTAACCCTCTTGTATTGAACTGTATTGTTGCTGAATCATCTCCCGATATATTGTAAAGTACTGAGCAAACTGTTGGCACTATATAAATCCTGTATAATAATAATAATATTAATCTATGTTCTTACATTACCATGCTT